ACTTTGATTGTGGGCAATAAAATAGTTTCACCCATACCTATTGTACATTCACTAAATAATGAAGAGGGCATCCTACGTTCTCTTCCTTGTATTAAGTAAGCTGCACTATATTTTGTAGTATCTGATGAAACCGTGTTAATGGCAAGCGTAAGTTTTGGTAGTAGTTCATCCCAGCTGCGATGCTCTCCTTGGCACATTTGGGCCAGCATTGTTTTAATGGTTCTATTTTGTACATTCAGTAGGATTTTCCTGCGGAATATATGTTACGGTTAGTCTATGCTTGATGTCCATCTTATCAAGCCACGTCTTGAATAATTTGCTGGTGAATTGGAGCCCATTATTTGTAATGATATGCTTTGGACGCCTAATCTCGCAACTATTCGATGTCTGATGGCTTCAATAGTGTTTTCACCGGTAGTCGTTTGCATAGTATTAATTCTGTCCATTTTGAAAATTTGTCGAGGATTACTAGCAACAACATGTTACTTTTTCTTGAGCATGGCAAGGGGCCCATGAAGTCGATTGGTGATCGTAGTGAACGGTTCATCTGGGATGGATGTGAGCGTCATTCCTGTAGGCTTGTCGGCACTTGGTTTATGTTTTTGACACAGTTCACATCGCTTTTCGTTAGTTGTGATATCCCTAGACATACCAGGCCAGTAACACTTAGTTTGTAACCGAATTATGGTTTTTCGAATACCGAAATGTCCAGCATGCGGATCATCATCCTCCTCAAGGATGACGTGATCCTGAAGATTATCTGAGACGCATAATTTCCAATGATTATGTGACTGGTGGTAGCCGTTTGTACAGTTGTTCATTGCAAATGTTATAATCAAAATTTTGTTTTGGATTTTTTCTACTTCGTCCCACTTCCACTTACATCAACTAGGGCGTGAAGCATTGTGGGTTATTAAAATTTTTCCGATGTTCTATAGTGGTTGGGTAGACGGGTAGACGTTCCTTCTCTGTACCCGAGTATTTAATTTCTAAATACTAAGGTGTCTGCTGGCATATGCGATTACCCTTTCGTTTCCATCAATTTGCTGTGTCAAAACCTCTTCCAAACCTATGTTACTCGCGTCGGTATGGAGGCAAAACTTTTCATTAAATTCAGGACTCATGAAAATAGGTGCTTCCGTGAGGCGTGTTTTAATCTCTTGAAATGCTTGTTGCTGGCTTTCACCCTATTTTCAATGCTCACCCTTTTTTAGCATACTAGTAAGGGGGTGTATAATGTGAGCGAAGCCTAAGTTGTCTAATATTGGCTGGTGTTTGAATATTTTGGATAGCTGCAACCTTATCAGGATCCGTGTGTATCCCTTGTGAACTTACGACATGCCCAAGGAACTTAGTCTCGGTCTTAAAAAACTCCGACTTCTCCATATTAATCCTAAGTTTCGCTGCCTTTAGACGCCGAAAAACCTCTTGCAAATTTTGAAGATGATGTTCAAATGACGTACCTGTAACAATAATGTCATCCAAATACGCGAATGCATGGCGTTCCAGATCTCTCCTATAACGTGATCAAGTGCCCATTGGAAGTGGCCGGTGCGAAATGTAAGCCGAATGGTAACACACGCCAATGGAATAGTCCCCTGTCTGGTACTGTAAAAGCCGTGTACTTTTTGCTATCGTTGTCCATCGGTATCTGCCAGTAATTATCCTATAAGTTGATACTGCTAATAAATTTAGCGTTTCTCAATCGATCCAAGATATGGTGGATTCGTGGCAATGGATACGCGTCTGGTATGGAGTTGGCATTAAGCTGTCGGTAATCTATGCAGAAACGCCAATCACCATTATTCTTTTTAACTGACACTACAGGACACTATATGGACTGTGGGACGGCTCGATGCAACCCTTATCTAGTAATTCGTCAACTTTGTCATCGTCAACTTTGTTGCATGGGTGGATTTCTTGGAAAGTACTTCTGTTTTATTGGACGATTATCCTTCATGATAATCTTGTGTGTGGTGATGTTAGACACTCCGTACAGCGCCTGAAATTCGTGTAGTTCTTTTTCCAGAAATTGTTGTATTACTTTGTCTTTGTCTGCCACCGTTTGTGGGGAATGTGTTTTTGCTTAAACTGGAGTTGTTACGAGTTGAGTTTTTTGTTGATCCTCCGGCAAGGATGTGTCATCCGCTGTTGAAGAAATTAAGGTTATTCTGGATATTTCTTGATGAACTTAGCGTTGTTTTCATTGTATAAGTGTTTAATCTAGTTTTAGGTTAATTTTCCCTATAGAGATATTAGATCCAATTGTTTGTAAGAAATCCAGGCATAAAATTAGTTCATTCGTGCTTTTCGAGAAAACCAACAGTTCAACTCTTATAGTATATGTTCCTAGTTGTATTTTTACTTCTGTTTTCCATGTGAGATCGTGTGTAGTGTTGTCTACCATTCGCACTTTAACGACAGTCTTGAGTTTCTTTGGTTGGAGTTCCAGTTTGCTACCAGTGTTTGAGAAATGAAACTTCGTGAGGCAACCGTGTCGATTGCAGCTTCTAGAGTATGCGTATCCAGTCTGATTATTGCCTTTATTTGGGCGTCCTTTACAAGCAGTTGTTTTGTATCAGTTCGCAGGGCTCCTGTTGGTAGGAGTCGCTACCCCCGTGATAGAGCAATCCCGATTGTCATTTCTTGAATATTTTCGGCAACAGTCGATGGTACGTATATTCCTGGTGCCACAATCGCAACACTAACTCCTCGATTCGTTTGATGAACATCAATGGGTCTTTGCTCCCATCATATTTGAA